GAAGCCTGGACAAGGCAGAAGGGTTGGTTTTACTTGGCTTGTGAAGTCAAAGTTGCAGCGGCGCAGGACAGGATGGCCTGGGGAACCGAGGCCGGAGCGGACTCACCTGTTCAAGGCTGCAGGGCAAGCGACCCGCTGACAGGAGCTAGCCGAGGGCACTGAGCAGCTGGGTGTAAGTCCTCTTGCGTGTGCGAGTTACTCCAGTGTCTGTTGGGAAGGTTATTGCCCGAGCATAGGAGATACCGCGAGGTTTTTTGGCCCAGGTGACTTTACTGACCTGGCAGGAGAGATCCCCGTTTTCTGGGTCTCGAATGACTCGGAGTAATTAGAGGGTGAAGGCTCGTCCTGTGGGCTGCAGGCAAGCAGACCCCTGCCAGAGTCCCCAAATGCCTCCAAACGGGGCTACACAATTCATGGCAATGCAGGATTGCTTTCAGGCTTTCCCCCTAGCTTGCTTCTTTGGCCTTTAGGCTCCGGGCAAGCGAGACCTGGGGGCACCTGAACTCCAAGGCCTCTAGGTGTGAGGTTTGCACGTAGGAAGCCTGCCATGGACTTGGGAGTATCCGAAGCCCCAGGCTGAAGAGCCTGGGAAGGAGGAGACCACGCAGACTCGAATGACTGAGCTCTGCTCCGTCGATAGACTTGGGAGCTGATTTGGCTCAAGACATGAAACTTCAAACAAAACAAAAGAAGTGTGAGAGCAGGTTAGACAGATGCCCATCTAGGATGCCTTAGTCCTGGGTGCCCCTGCCTGGAGCAGACCTGTTTGCAATGGCAGTGGGGAACAGCAGCCCTGAGCCCACGAGGAAGACAGTGAGCTGATCTTAATGAGGGTGCAGTCACTGGGGGCCCCCCGGCCAGAGGCAGGAGGTTGACCAGGAGGTCCTGGGGCCATGGACAGGGTGTGCGTACCCACGAAGGTGCAAGGAGAAGTGCACTCCTGCAAAAGGGGCAGGTTCTGGGGTGCCTGAGAATCACACCGGATACGTGCAGGAGCTGCCTTGAGCAAGGGCTGGACCAGATGTGACCTCCCGAGGGCCGGCTGCTCTCGGAGTCTGAACCCCATTTCGTGTCCATTCCCTCCATCGTTCACCTGCCTCTGAGTCGGGCCCATCCAAAATCCATGGGACAAACCCAAGAACGCGTCGGCCTGCCCGAGGAGCCAGCCGGGGGCGTTACTTGTGTCTGAACACCGCTGGTTGCTGCTGTCTCCTCAGGGGATCTCCTCATTAGCCACCAAGGCTAGAAACAGCCTGTCCACAATGAGGGCAGCGAAGGCTCTTTCGTAGCCGCCCGGCTCCCGCAGCCCGTGCCAGAGCCCAGGAGAGTCGCTCCCGGCAGAGCCCAAAGCCGCTCCTTTCTCCCCCGTCGGAGAAAGGGACTGATCCTGGGCCCCGCCACCTGCCATCATCGTGCACCAGCTGCAAACACTTGCAGGGAAAGTGGGTTTAAACATTCTTTTAAAAACTGTTTTCTGGTGGGATTGTAAATGAAGCCTCCTAGATGCATCCCTGGGTTGGGGGGGATTCATCTCCGCTTGTTTCTATGATGCCCAGATTTTGGGCTCGATTGACCTTGACAGTTTGTCCCTCCAGAGCTGCCTCTGGAGCCAGCACTCAGCACAACGGCCAGGCCGGGAAGCTTTGGGAGAGGAATAAAATGATGCTTCAAGTTGGAGAACCTGCTGCGCTGCTCTCGTGACCAATGCCAGCCAACCGTGGCACCTCCTAATTTAATTAGAGGCCGGCTGGCACCGTCCCAGCGAGAGGACAGGCCGCTGGGTCCGGCCACGGCCCTGAATGGGGCATGGGAGAGGCACAGCCGAAACGGAGGCTGGAGCACCTGACCCGAGCTGTGAGGCGGCTTCTCTAGACAGACTTGCCTCGTCGCGTCATGTCCTGACATGTCCTGGCACCACGCTGGTTTTTCCAGGGTGCGCTCGCACACGGAAGCTCGCAGGCGGCGTCTCCCTCTCGGGGTTTCATCGAGGCATGTGCCTGGGCCTGGGATTACACAACACGCAGCAGAGACGGGTGGGAAGCATCAGCGATGACCTCTGCTAAGGCAAAAGGGCAGGAAAGTGCAGGGCAGCATCCCTGGAGGGGTAGAGGAGCGCCCACGAGATGCAGGGCAAGGGGAAAAGACTTCACCCACATCGGCTCAAGTTCAAGAGCGACTTTCGGACGAACCCTGTTTGCCTCTGCAGCTGGGGGTAGGGCAGCAGGGCTCCTTTCCCAAGCATTTGGCTCCCTTTCTTTAACCTGCCTGCGAGATGTCCTGAAGAAGGCACCAGGAACTGAACTGTGAGCCTGGCTCGGGCACTCTTTGTCCGCTGGATAAGACGAGCGTGCTCGCAATGCCGCAGGCTGCAGAGGAAGAGCATCGTATGGTACTAAAAGCCGTCTTCAAGAATGAGCATCCTGCATGCAAGTGAGATTTGGGAAGAGAACGGCTGCATCAGAGCAAACATCCAGGGCCTGCGGCTCTCCTGGGACGAACCTCGCTCTCCAGGGGAAGGGGACCAGGGTTTGCAGGCTGACGAGCGTGGCCTGTTGGACCACACTCCCTGCCCAGGTTGAAGAGGGCACCTGGGGACCAGCTCAAAGCAGGCGCCCGGGGACCAGCTCCTGAATGCAGTCTGCTAGGGACAGGTTTCTCATCCGGAGCAGAGCGCCAGCACGCGGTGCCCAGGGCTGAGTCCAGAGAGCCCCCCCCCCCCGAGCCCAGTTCTGTGGGGCACTGCTGCCACCTGCTGGGCCCAGGCCCCAGCCTCTGCTTCGCGGGGGCCACGCTAGGAAGCATGCGTGTTGCTCATGGCACGCCTGCTCCACGCTCGGTAGAGATCGAGAAAGACGTGCTTTGAGCACCCGTCTCCGCTAGAAGCCAGACAGGTGCTAATAGCAGCCCCATGGCAGGGACGTGCATGTGCAGAACTGCAGGCACGAACTCAGACTACCTCGTCCGTGCCCCCGTTCTGCCTTGGACGTGCCGTTTCCAGGAGCTGTATGCACTAGTCACAGGATCATAGACAATTAAAGGGACCTCAGGAGTCATTTAATCCAACCCCCTGCTCCAAGCAGGACCAGCCCCTGCTACATCATCCCAGCCCAGGCTTTGTCTACTCAGGTCTTAAATACCTCCAAGGATGCAGAGTCCACAACATCCCTGGGTGAACCTGTTCCAGTGCTTCACCACCCTCCCAGTGAGAGTTTTCCCTAATATCCAACCTAAACCTCCCTTGCTGCAACTAGTGGAGAGCCCTGGGCAGGACCGAGCACCAGAAGTGGGCTTCCAGGCTGGGCTCTGGCCCAGTCCTTCAGGTTGGCAAAGGCAGACTGAAGTGCCTAGGCTGAGATTTCAGAGAAGCCAAAGGCAAGGAGGCAGCCCAGCTCCACAGCTCCCTCCCAAAGCTGGACCCCAACTCCATGCTTCAGCCAGTTCAGTTTTCAGCCCCGGTGTTCCCTGCTCCGGTGGGAGCTTCATCCTGGCAGTCGCCGCCACCTCCTCCTGGTGCCTAGCAGAATCCAGGGGCCCTGGCTCTGCAAACACTGGGCGCCCCCACTTCTCTTCCTAGGAGGAAAAGCAGCTCATGCACCTCAGGAGCTGGGAATCCTTTACCCGTGCTTTAATGCTGTAAGTGCTGGCCCTGGAAGGTCATTTGCTGCCTGCACACTATGCACAATTCACAACCATTTGGGTTTGGATTCTGCACCCGAGAGAAATCGTGTCAAAAGGTCTGGGGATTTTAACGGTCCTACACACCTTTCCTGCTCCCTGCTGCTGTTTTCCCCTAACGCTGTGGGCAAGACCAAGTACAGTAGCTTTCTTCAGCTTCTTCATAGCAAAAAGTCCCCATCTGTTGATGGAAGGGAGCTTGGGTTGGTTTAAACTTGTTTGCTTTTCCACACAACACTTACACTTTCCTCTCTCTGCCCTCCCCTCATTCCTGTACAGTGAAGTCCCATGAACCTAGGGCAAGTGGAGCTAGCTCGTGCTCTCTATAGTTCTTTGAAAAATGCATATCCTAACTGCTTTCAAAAAGCAAACGAGAGTCCCTCTCAACCAGCTGCACGTGAAAGAAGGGGATGGAGGACATCTCTGGTCACTGTCCAGTGCCACACTCTTCTGTTGCCTGCTACCGAACGTCAGCTTCTCACAAACCCTGTCTCCTCCTGAGCAGCCGGAGAGAGAACCAGTGAAGGAAGGGGGTTGAGGAGAACTCACTTAGACAGCCCAGCCTCAGATGCTTGGCTACTCACAGATGTAGCTCAGATGCACAGACAGATGGAAAATTTCCTCTCCTGGTGCCTGAAGTTGCCCGAGCTGCTCCGGGCAATTCAAGGCACGTGAACTAACAGCCCTCGTGCAGCTTTCCCTCCAGCTGCTTGGATGCTGCAGCGATGAAGAGAATGCGAATGGAACAGGAGACCCCGACGCCCAGGGCCTGGCATCCCTTTCTGCGTGGGAATCTCGGACATGCCTCTGCAGGCTCAGGGGGCCAAGTGATTTACAGGGCACAAAACACCCAATGCAAGAGCAGCCGCATCTCTGTGACACTCCTCTGGAGTCCTTATGCTTTCTCAGAGGGCTGCAAGGGATGCCAGAGGCAGGGCAAAGCCCCCCAGCTGCTGCCTTCATTGTGCAGGGCCTAAATCCTTCACTCAGCCCCACTGGGCCAGGGAAAAGCTTGGGTTCAGCACTGGGCCCTTGCCCACTTCAGTGGTACAGTGAATGGACAGCACAGGAAACTCAAGGGAGGAAGACGGAGAGGAGGGGTCACAGGAAAGAGCAGAGGGATCAGTCAGCGACATGCATTAGATAGGCGGCCAGTCTGCAGACTTCCCACGTCCCCCAGCCCTGGACTAAGATGTTTATTACTCAGCAGGGCACAGCTTTCACTGCACCCAGCACCGAGTTTTCCCTCCTAGGATGCTCTAGGGCACAAGTCGCCGCAGCAGTCAGGCCCCTCTTCTGGGCTCTCCAACATGTAAATACCAGCGTGAAGCATGAATCTTCTTACGTTTATTAAATAAAATGTGTTATGGTTACAAGAGGCCCACAGGGCTTACTCTGACAGAGCGTTAGACAGCCGTGAAAATAAATCCGATGCTGCTGAGATACCAGTGCATCTCCTGAGGAGAAGCAGGCTCCTGACGACTTCATTTAGCTCCAAACCAGGACGGCTCTTTCCGTTAACCCTTCCCCCGAAGCACTAGCGTTTGCGCTGGAACCTGAACTTGTACACCGCGGGGCCATTCACCGTCTCCTTCTTCACCTTCACTTTGTGGGTTTTGTCCTGGGGAAGACATGAAAGCAACTGATTTCCCTTCTGAACGTGCAACAAGAGGAAAACCCTGAGGAGAACGAACGAGAGCAACGATGGAAACAGAGGGTGCAGGGCCAGGGCAGTGTGAGGACTAGAAAAGGTATTTCTACTTGTTCTTTCACCTTTAAATCATGGGGTCAGCCACACAGGCAGTTATAGCCCAGGTCTTCACTGAACTGTGAACCCCACAGAGGCAAGAAACCTCTCCTCCCACTGCAATTCTGAAGGGTTTCTACCACCGCGGTCTTCTCCTCTGATGCTCCCTGATACTGACTTGGTGTTTGGGCAGCCCCAGGAAGTCATACAAAGAACTGAGCTTCTGGGCCAAAGGCCTGAACAGGAACAAGTCATCTGCCCTCACAGCTGAATCGTTTCCTAGGGATCCCTCCCCCTGCGCTCACAAGAAATAAGCCCCTCACCAGGAGATCTTTGCGTGTCTGGATTTTCTGGGCAATGACAAATAGCTGCTTTTCTCGCTCGATGCGTTGCTTCAGGAGGTTGTACTGACTGCTCCGCTTCTGGGCTAGTTTCTGGAGGAGGAAAAGAGCATTTCTGAGGGGGGGGGGAAAAAAAACAACAAAAAAGCACCTGGTGTCAACTAGACCCTTCTCTGGCTCATACTCAGGGGCCTCACTGTGGGCTCAGGGATCGCACTCACGCTGACCCTGACCACAAACTCATTGATGCTTTAATAGAGCTTTGCCTAATTGACAAAAATTGTTGCTGCTCCTAAAGGGATGTGTTTCAACCCTCTTGGCCCTGAGAGCTGAGCTTTCCTGGCAGGGACCTGAAAGGTTCATACAGGCAAGACAATTTAGTACAGCAGAAGACCTAGGGGCCCAACCACTTCTGAGCTGGCCCAGATACTACGGGAAGTGCTAGTGTTTCCTAGAACAGAAGGGCTGGGGGCTTGGTGGCAAGTAAAGCTCTGTTTGCAGGGGCAGTGAGCAGGTATTCTCCCACAGAACGGCTCATTAGCTAACGAGAGCTGCTGGACCCGCAACACAAGGTGGCATTACTACTGGGGTGATCTAATTACTGATACCCAACAGGACACATCCCAACAGGCTTCAGATGACTTAGTTTTTTTAGGAGGGGGAAAAAAATGCATTGATCTAAACAAGTCCACGAGCTTTTCTGATGAGCCAGATGGAGAAGGCTCGCAGGAGGAACAGGCCAGGGCAGGACACCAGCCAACGTCCTATTTAGAAACAACCCGCTGCAGTCTTCCCCTCGGCAATTTCAGACACCTTTATTTTTACCTTCTTGCACAGACTGAATCAGGCGTACAAGACTTCCCAATATATCCAAACTAATTAGGAGGTATTTATACTATTGCAACCAAGTTTAGCTGTTCCCAAGCAGAAGGGAACTGCTGTGAAACTAAAACATCAGGAGCGAAGCTGATACTGTGCAAGCAATCTGGGCTGAGGAACTGACGCCTGCACAAAACAGTTTAACTTAAAACCAGCGAGGAAGTGAGATTTCAGCTTTGGCATCTAAAGAAGGGGGGTGTCAGGGCACTGGGTCACAAATGCCACCGAGCTCAGAGCCACAAAGTTCAAGAATCCTATGTAGTTTCATTAACCAAGAGACAAGCAAGCAGCAGAGAAATCTCTGAAGAAATCCACACAGCTACAAATCACCAGTTGCAGGGGAAAGGGACAGCTCATGTGACCGTTGTGACGGGAGACAGCGACTTCACAAGAAGCTCCGTCATGTCCCAACTCAGGGACAAATGTGCTTTAATGCTCAAATGCAACAGGAGAATGTCGTTTCTTTTAAACAAGGGGACTGACTCCCAATCTCACAACTGCCCTGTATCCCAACAGCCTAATTAAACCCTGGCTCTGCAGTAAGGGGCATGAGCTGGCAATGGACCCAATCTGCCTCCAGGAGCACTAGTGGCTTTGTCACCGGCGTGCCTGCACGTCTGAGCAGCACTGTCAGTGCTGTGGTCAGCAGCAGCCTCAGAGGAAGAGAATCAGCAAGGCTCAAAGACAGACCCCAAGAGAAAATCCCAACGGCCTTTTAGGGCAAATCAGAGCCCTGCTTCCAGTCCCAGAAACAAATCCCAAGGCTTGCTCGAGGTAGCAGTGGGGCAGAAACAGACCCTGCTAGGGAGCGGGCCAGACAGTCATAAGAAACACATACACTCGCTGTTCAGGGAAGGCAGCGCCTCAGCAGCCCGACATCTCCCCATGCAGTGCTGGTACCCTGCAAATGCTGTGCTACAGCACCCCACGCATCCCGAGCCACGCTTCCGCCAAAGGCCACCAAACCCCTTGTGCTGCAGCACAGACCAATGCCCGCACCGCTGCAGGACACAACTGAATGGGTTCTTCGCTTGCCATCCCACAGATCCAATCTCAAGTCTCCAGGCATGAAAGGTCTGCTTTCCTCCTCATCGCACCCAGCAATCTCTGGCTCTCACCAAAATCACTCAGCCACTGCCAAGACCAACCAAGTCTTGGGCTACAGGAGCCACCTTGTCCACCCACAAGCCAGGCCAAGGTATCCTTGCAAGGACTCATAGCTCAGAACGGAGGTGACGTGAAATGACCCCAGAGGTGACCAAGCACTAGGAGTAGGAGGGGTGGCAGCTTGAGTTACCTTTAAATGGGCAGAATTAGTGGCTCCTTTTACTGCTTCCTTTTGCAGCGTGTCAATGGTGGGGCGGTTGTACACTCTGTCTACAAGCTCGGGGACAGTGTTCAGGTGGGAGGCGACATCAAACTCTTTAACTACGGATAAAAAAAGAAGCCAAGGTCAGCCATGAACACTCAGCCTGTTTCCCACAAAAGTGCTCAGTGGCCAAACAAACAGCTGTGCATGCTACGTGGCAGAGAGCCCCAGGGTCACCTGGACAGAGAACCACTGCAGCGCTGAAGAACAGCTGTCTAGCTCAGCTGCTTAGGGCGGGGTGCTAGTCACAGGTTCAAGCCCCAGTTGGCCTAGGTGATCTCTTGAGGTCCCTTCCAGCCTGACTTCTCTATGAAACAGTCCATCGGTGGAAGGCTGCTTCATCTCCTCTCCATCACTGTTAAGAGGGAGAGAGGCTCCCAGGAGCACCAGACGTGTTACCACTCCTGGGAGACAAGGCAGCACCAAGCTCTTTTACAAGTCAAAGGGAAGCTGTTCTCTGGCAGAGCCCAGTGACTCCCACCTTCTTTTTTGGTATCCAGGAAGAACGTGTGTTTGTTGGGCTGCTTCCCCTCAGCATCCAGCAGGTGGAGCTCTGATTTCAGCCTTTCGATTTTCTGCAAAAGAGCAGTTAGTTTGCAGACAAAGCGGCATCGCTGTTTCCGGCCATAGTTTCTTCTACAGCTGAATCTGACTTGAGCAAGCGTGCGGGCAAGCCCGTGGAGCAGGGAAGTGCACATGCATTCGTTACGATCCAGCCAGAAAGCCCCGGGTGGGTCAGTTGAGGCTCTTACCTTGGCTTCTGCCACTCTTTTCATTTCCACGTATTTCAGATCCTGCGTCTTCATCACCTTCATCTGTTCTGGGGTCACCTCTTCCTTCGGCTGCTTTATCACGTGAACTCCATCCTGAAAGCAAAGGGAACACGGTAAGCACCGAGACATGCTCCTGATGCTGCAGTGCTCGAGTTCTCATAGTTTCATAGTAGCTAGGGTCAGGAGGGACCTGAACAGATCATCTTGCCTGACCCCCTGCCACAGGCAGGAATGAA